TGCCGAATCCCACGCCCCCGCACGCCCAGCCGCCGAAACAAAAACAACCCCCCCCAGCACCGCCCGGACAACCCCCCCCAAAAAACCCTGAGTGCCCCCCCGCCACCCCAAGATTGGCCGCCCCTTACCAGGTGCCGCCCCAAGCACATGCTTGGTCGGCTGGTGCCTGGAACCGGCCCTGGGCTAAGAGGTGATTTGATCAGAGTCTATAAATACCTGGAGAAAAGACTTCTGATGGCACAGGGGTCTATAAACTAGACTCTAATCTAGAACAAGATCCAATGGCTGGAAGCTGCAGCTAGATAAATTCAGGCTAGAAACAAAGTGCCCATTTTTAACATTGAGGGCGATGAACCGTTGGATCAGCTTACTGAGCAAAATGATAGATTCTTCACCCCTTGAGGTCAGTACATCAGGGTTGGAGGTCTTTGTAAATAATGCGCTGTTGCTCAAAGAGGCGGGACGGGCTCCATGCAGGAGTCACGCTGGCCTGCGTTAGAGGATCATAATGGCCCCTTCTGGCCTTAGCATTGGACTCTATGGCCCACCAGGTGATTCCTGGGATTGCATTAATTTTCTGTCTGAGGCATCTCTGCTGGTGTGCAACTGGCAGTGTATTCCCAGAGATGCCGAGCCAGTCAGCATGCTAATGAGAGGCTCACGGCATCAGCATTGCTGAAAGAGGACAGTGAGTGACTGACAGCTGCTCAGCAATGGAAGCGTTTACTAGGAAAGGCTGGTGCAAGGGTCCTGGTGAGATAGGGGGAAATGCTGGGGCTGGAACACAGGAAGGGGTTAGTGCCCTGTGGCATGTATATAAGAGACCAGTGTAAGGGTGGTGGGTAAGAGAGGCTGGTAGAAGGGAGAAAGATTCACAGAGCTGCAATGATCTGAGATGACAGTGCAAGAGGTTCCTCAGCCTGAAAGCAACATTTCAGCTCTGTAGGCCCCACCCAGAGACGGGCACTCTGGGCCCCTGCACCCCATCCCAATCACTACGAGACCATACAGCAGATCCAGCAGGAAAGCTAAAGGCTTTCCCCCCAGAACATGTGGTATATAAGCAGAGGGCAGGCAGGCGTGAGTGGGGAGGAGGAAAACGCTGGCCCCAAGGGAACAGGAGTCCAAGGACTCATGGAGGGTCACTTACCAAAGCTGCTCACTGGCTCTGCAGAGCTCTGGTAACTGTCTGAACCTGCCTGTCTCCAGAGCCTCTGCAGAGGCTGATCTATCGGCTTGTTGTCTGGAGAGCTGTGGTTTCTAGCCAGCGTCACTGCCCATCATTCAGGCTCTGATGAGCTCGTAGGCCAGGGATGCTGTTCCACAAGGATCTGGCACCTTCTATTCTATTTCATTCCGGTTCTGACACCACCGTATTAGCTGAGCTCCTTCCCTAGCACATTATCCCCCAATGGGAACCCCCTACTGCTTTCCCTCAGGGATATAAACAGGGCTCTCCTCCAGCGCAGCCCCAGGAATGCTCTGCCCACACTCAGGGACTATGTACCACTGGCGGGTGTTACCTGTTGTCTGGGCCACCTTGACCAGCCCCCGTCGGAAGACGTTCTTCAACCTTGGCATCATGTTGAAGTTCTTAGCTCCCCCAGTCACAGAGATGAGCAGGTTGGGCACGTCGAGGCCCCAATGCTGAGTCATCAGCTGGTAGATAATGCATGGAGGGGTGTCCACCGAGACGCGCACATACTGAGGGTGGTGGGGGGGGGTGCAAAACACAGGGAAGGGAGGGAGTAAAACCCACTGCACCTACCCAGAGAGCAAAGCTAGCCAGGGACTCATCCTAGCCAACACGGCAAGAATCAAACTTCTTTCCTCTAGGCAGCTCCCAACTCTCCCCACCCCAGTTCCTCACCTTCCTGTAAAGGACCAGGCCTGCGTATAGAGGAACATCTCCCTCCACTGCCCCATGCATCACCTCAGGGCCAGTACAGCCTGGCAGCTGAATCTGTCACTGCACAGCACCCCTGAGGTGACAGATTCCCCCCTCAAGGAGAGGCTGAGATGACAGCGTGACGTATGCTGCTGCTATTTTAGTGCCAGGCCCTGAGGATTGTGAGGTTGACTCAGAGCTGGATGCTGTACCTGTTCCCTCCCACCTCCATGAGATTCAGACCCCCAGGAGTCTGAGGCAGGAGAAGTGGAGGAGGTTGCACACTGAATCTTGGCCCACCAAATGGCTTCAGAGGAGGCCTCAGATTTACTTGTCCTGGCGCTGGCCCTCCTCCCCTCTCCCCAGAGCTGCTCCGAAGGGTGAAGGAAGTGGCCGTATCTACCCCCTTCCTTTCTGTGCTAGGACCAGGGCTGCCTTTGGGGCCTCTCCCCATCTACCGTCAAAGACAGCGAATACACCCATTCCATCAACCGCAAGTGCCGAGCAGCAGGGTTTCAATATGGGATCCCTGTCCCCTAGACACTAGGGACTGACCCACCTTTCCCACCTTTGGTCCCAGACCTGCAAAGCTGATATCACCAAACGCGTCCGTCGGCATTTCTTGGATGTGCCTCTTGGGGTCCCATTCTTTCCCCAGGAAAACAGATGACTTTGTAGCCTCTTCCAGGTGCTGTTCCCTGGGGTAACCACACTCACACATGACCCTCCTGCAAGAAAACAGCATCAGCAACTCCCTGAACTCAGAGGGGGCGTCTCTGGCAGTTACAGGCAGATGAGTCCCTTGGCAATCTCAGATTGGAAGCAGTGGCAGTGGCTTACTTTGAAAATGCCCAACACCAGCTCCTAGGGAGGTTATATCTCCTGCCCAGCTTGCTCATCGGCCATTGGCTATGGAGACAAAATCACTGTGAGGAGGAGATCATTGTGCATGGTAGAGCGCAGCAAAAATCAGCATTTCCATCCCGCAGGACATTCCGATATCTGGACATTGTTTTCACCCCAAAATAAGCCAAAATATATTTTTAAAATTGTGGAACAAAAAATTCTGGAAAATATCGATTCAGAAATGGCGAATCATTTTGTTCTGAGTCAATTCAATGTTGAGCTACACATCCCAGTAGTGCTTTGCATTGTCTCTTGGGAGGTGTAGTTCTGGGTGCTTCATGTCCTAATGTCCCCAATAGCAGGTCTCCATGGCAAGACTACATCTCCTTTGATGCACTCTAGTCAGCTCCCATGATGCACCACACAGGTCAGTCTGAGGGGACACCACATGCTGCACTATGAGACATGTAGTCCAGCCCTGGAGCTCAGACCATAGGGGGAGAATCACTGGAACTACAACTCCCATGAGGCAATGCACCACCAAAGGGAAAGGCAGTCCAATGGTTAATGGACCCAAAATGAAATAGTTCATGAAATATTTTTCCATTAGGATATTGAAAAATTTAGGCAAAATAGAAATTTTCCAATAGAAAATTTTAACTTTGCGGAAACTGCATTTTCCATCAAAAATTGGTTTTGACTGAAAATTCCCAACCATCTGTAGTGCAGAGTGCTTTGCACCACTGACCTGTTAAGTGTGGTAGAAGCTCACTAATCTGCACCAGTGTCCAGGAGACTTGATGCACACTGATCAGTGCTATGAACTAGTCAGTAGGTGAACAAACATAATCAGGAGCCACATCGAGGTGCCTGCATTGCAGAAGGAACCCAGGGTTTCCTATTATTATAGATGACAGTGCTTCATAACAGTGTAACAAGCCAAGGCTTGTGGCTAAGCATTGGGGACCAATTCCCTGTGTGAGCTTAGGCCTCAACTCTGGATCTCAGCTCCACAACTACTAAAAGGCGATAACGGTTCTTCCAGTGTCTGTCTATTCGGTTTGCCAGCTCTTTGGGGCAGGGGCTGTCTCTTACTATGTGCAGCACCTAGCACAATGGAGCCCTGATCTCAGCGGGGCCTCTACAGGGCCGGCTCCAGGCACCAGCTTCGCAAGCAGGTGCTTGGGGCGGCCACTCCGGAGAGGGGCGGCAGGTCCAGCTATTCGGCGGCAATTCGGCGGACGGTCCCTCACTCCCGCTCTGAGAGAAGGACCTCCTGCCGAAGTGCCACCGCAGATCGCGATCGCAGTCTTTTTTTTTTTTGTTTTTGGTCTGCTTGGGGCGGCCAAAACCCTGGAGCCGGCCCTGGGCCTCTAAATGCTACAATAGTAATACATTACTGTAGTATATTTTCCTGAAGTAAATGCAACCTCACTACGGTCATCAGCAATGTGCAGTGAGAACACTGGAGATTTTATAAGGATTACCCATGTTTGCAACTTTGTGCAGTGAGACTTAGCACAGTCCTACTCTATTCATTAGCTAGGATTCAAGCCTTTCGCCTTAGCCCCATGTTTAGAAGCAGTCTCCTCCATCTCCTGTTGCCTGGGAGAGTAGCTGCCCAGATTTTGATCCTGACATTACATTAGAGCTGGTCAACAATTTTGTTGGATTTTTGACTAAAATAATGTTTTTGTGAAAGCATCTGCTGTCTGCAGAAAAATTCCGTTTTCTGTTCAAAAACAGAACACCCAAAAAAACGAAATGTTTTGGCCAAACCCCCAAATATTTCTATCTGGAAATACTGCTGCAGAGCCTCATGGGAATTGTAGTTCAGTTTCTTTATATCTCCATTCACTTGTATGGGCAGAGCTCCCCAGCTGGACTACACCTCCCATGATGCACCATCACCACGGACTCTCATGCTGCACCACCTTCCTCTCCAAGAGAGGAGACTGTGGTGTATCATGGGAAATATCCAAACAGCTCAGCCTATAAATAATAAATAATAATAATAATAATAATAATTCCTATAATGCTTAGCTGTTTATATAGTGCTTGCCATCAGAAGATCTCAAAGCACTTTTCAAAGGGTGGTAACTCATAAATATAAGTATACATTGTCAGTATAAAGAAAGGGAGCAAGGGTGGCCACTCATGCATTCCCAGAAAACATAGTACTTCTGGGAATGGCATGGACCCACCACCACTGGCATGACCTTGCACTCATGGTGAGTGTAAAGTCACACCATTTGGAAGAGCATGCCACTCCATCCCCACTGGTGTGACCTTGCAGCCAGCTGAATGGCCTGCCTGATGGGAGCATGAGGCACTAGAACTACAACTCCCATGAGGTATCATGGCTGCATTTGCAAATCAAAATATATCCGTTTTCACATTTCCACCAAAAAAATCCAAATTTTCCGTAAAAAATTTAAACAAAAACTAAGTTTTTTGTTTTTGTTTCCATCAAAGTTTTCCACAGGAATAAGAACAACATTTTTCAACCAGCTGTGCTTAGCATTGTAGAATAAGCTGAAGAAACGCAACATTTCTTCTCCAGGAAATCTTTCTCTGTATTCTCTTTGTGCAGCTCCAAGACCATCATTGCACTCCTCTCCTCGTAGCAGAAATGGGCTTAACACTGGATGTTGACTCTACTTTCCTGCAATGTGGGTGTAAAGCAAGAAGCAGATGGAAGGGGGAAAACATCAGTGCATTTGACTTACCCAGTATCTGACATTTGGGAACTTTCAACAAAGTACACACATTCCTTCTTCTTGATGTTTTCAGGAATCCACGAGCTGAGATTCTCCTATAGGGTGGAGAGAATAAGGGGAACAGCAGGCCTAAGTGGTTTCAGACAAAGACCAGATTACATAGGTTCCTACAAGATCCACAGAAAAAGGGGCACATCACAGATTCAGCGTGCAAGGGCTCTCAGCCAGTACATAGAGAAACAAAGGTTATAACAGCAAGAAACCCAAGGGGAATTTGACACTTTCAGTTAGACAGATAGAGTGAGGACTCTGCCAGCACACTGTGTATCAGACAGACAAACGTGTGCCCAAAACTGAGAATGGTGAGACATGAAGGAGCAGTGAGGGCTGAGTCTAACAGCTTATTCACACTTTGAATTTGTTGCCGGTTAACTTGAGTTATTTCATGTTAAATTGGTGGGGGCTTTGTCTAGTCAAGCAGGAAGAAAGGAGTTGTGGCTCTTTTAAGGAATCCCCTCTCCTTAGGGCTAGGGAAGAGGGATAGCTCAGTGGTTTGAACATGGGCCTACTAAACCCAGGGTTGTGAGTTCAATCCTTGAGGGGGCCACTTAGGGATCTGGGGCAAAATCAGTACTTGGTCCTGCTAGTGAAGGTAGGGGGCTGGACTCAATGACCTTTCAGGGCCCCTTCCGGAGATAGGATATCTCCATATATTATTATTATTAAGGTGGGCAGAGGGATGGGGCATCACCTGAGCTGGGGGTTGGCCAGAGGGGCTCAAAGGTGAGCCACTGGTCCCTGCAAACAAGGGTTAAGGTATGTGAATGCCCTGCCCTCTCTCACTCCAGAAACATCAGAACAGCGCTGGGACTGGGAGTGATGCTGTTAGTGGGTTTGTTTTCACCTTGTGTGAATGGGATCGGCAGAATGGCTCTCCTCCATGTGTCCACATCTCCCAGGGCACTTTGTCTGTCTCCCTGGCTATTGGAGAAAAGCAGGTAATGACCCTAACTACTACCTCTTCCAAATGATACTCTGTTCCTGGACTGAGAGCCCCTTTTAGCCTACTCCCACCAACCCACCCCTGGGCTCGGAGCATCTCCTGGTTATGCCCCGACTCTTATACATGGTCAGTGTATTTGCTGGCCTCCCCCTAACCTTAGCATTGTCTAAACTTGCCTTTTCATTATTGCCAGTGGCAAAGTGAGCCTTCCTCTTGCTTTTACAGAAGCCACTATTGCTGCGTCTGAGGTTGGGAACCATTTTGAGGTCGCAGATCTTGGAATGCACAACGTAGCTGTCTCCCTCATCAGGGCAGACTCCATTCAGCTCTGGCGGTAGCATTCTGGTTTGCCTGCCACTCCCAGCTACGGGCAGGTCTCTTGTCACCCTCAACGGAGCCTCTCGAGTTTGTTATGCCGAGAAGTACTGAAATGCAATGAAACAGAAAATACTAAACATGCATCAGAAACACGAGGACACTCGAGCTGGGGCTTGCTGCTAGGAGAACATCCCTCACCATGAATTCTCTCCCTCCAATCCCAGCATGCTTTGGGATTTGTTTCAGATGTGAACTAGACCAGCTATGCATGTCACACAGCACAGACTTCTAAATTCATCTATTGTTTTCCTACAACAGGCCCCGAATGAATGATCACAGAATCATAGAAATGTAGGGCTGGACAGGACCTCGAGTGGTCATCTAGCCCAACCACTGACCAAGTAAACCTAGACCATCCCTGAGAGGTGTTTGTCCAACCTGTTCTTTAAAACCTCCATTGAGGGGGATTCCACAACCTCTCTAGGTAACTTGGTCCAGTGTTTAACTATTCTTATAATTAAAAAGTTCTTTCTAATATCTAACCTAAATCTCCCTTGCTGCAAATTAAACCAATTAAATTATGAGATAGGGAAGATTTTAATTAAAAAATCAAAGCTAAACAGTAACATACACTGCATCTACATGTATGTGTTCATATCAATATGTATGCCTAGTTGTGGGCTCATATCTATATCATCAACAGCTGAGTTGTTAATTTTTTATCTATCACCCATGGCATATGACCCAGAGACACAACCACAGACCATTCTCCACATCACATATCCCACACACAGCCCAGAAATGATACCTTGCCCACCCCAAGCCATGATTCCACCAAATGGGAAAATACCCAATCTATCCGATCCACTCTCTCTCTATGGATTAGAAATCCCATGTGTCTTCCCTATTCACCCTGCTGGGTTGGGTCAAGCACCTTCCGGCTACCCACCAGCTATCCACCTTCATCCAGCTCTAGGGTGACCAGACAGCAAATGTGAAAAATCAGGACGGGGGTGGGGGGTAATAGAAGCCCATATAAGAAAAAGACCCAAAAATCGGGACTGTCCCTATAAAATCGGGACATCTGGTCACCCTATCCAGCTCGCTCTGCGCATACAGACCAAACCCTCAGCTACCCCTGCACCACACCCGGCTAGTATGTTACTTGTCCTGTCTTTAGAATGTCAGGCAGCCAGAGTGCATGCTCCCTCCTTTCAAAGGGTGTAGCACCCTCCAAGTTCACCCTGACTCCCAGATCCCCGGGGCGAGGTGTAGGCACACTGCCTCTGGGAGCCCTGCTGGACTGACAGACTCCACCTGTAGGTGTGGTCTAAAGCCACAACTGCGCCCTCAGTGCCATGAGGCTAATTTCATTCATGTCTGTGGAGCACTTTAAGATCTTCAGCTGGAATGTGCTATAAAAAGGCAAAGTGTTATGGTTATTATTTATTCATACACCTGGCAGAATGATTCAGCCTCCACATCACAGTCTGTCTGGGTCATGAGCAAATAAGCCAGTTTTCCGGCAAAGGGATAGGATCAAATGTTGCAGTCTTGATGTACAGTTGTTTTCTTAGATGTGCTAATTTTTTTGTCTCCCTCATTAAGGTCCCCGAGATGCTACCAGATGCTATTGCTAATTCAGTAGGTGGCACAATATGGGACCAATGCCCCAGTATGGCACTAGCTAGTGTAACTGTGCTGCAAATGCCATGTTTCACATGAAATATTTTTGTAAAAATAAGTTCCTGTCCTCTTTTGCTCATTATGATCCTCTCTGGCACTTTCCATAGATTTCAGACCAGAAGGGACCACTGTGATCATCTAGTCTGACCTCCTGTGTAACACAAGCCATAGGACTGCCCTGAATTTACTCCTGTTTGAACCAGAGCAGATCTTCTAGAAAAACAAACCACCATCCAATCTTGATTTTAAAATGGCCAGTGATGGAGCATCTATCACAGCTGTGGGGAAATCGTGCTAATAGTTACTTACCTTCACTGTTACAAATGTACACCTTTTTTCTAGCCTAAATTTCCCCAGCTTCCAGCCCTTGGATACAACTTTGTCTCTAGACTCAAACGCTTCTGATTTCTGTTCCTCATGGAGGTACTTGCAGACTGTGAGCAAGTCACCCCACAACCTTCTCTTAGTTAAGTGAAACATATTGAGTTCCTTGAGTCTATGTAAAGCCCAGTGGATCTTAAACCTAGCCCTGCAGAGCGGCTAGGCAGCAAACAGCACCATGCTACCACCCAGCAACAGCTATAATCAGCTCTGGCTCCAGCTCCACTACCCACAACCAGCTGTAGACACAGCCCCTGGAAAGTCCCGCCTCAAGGGGACAGACAGGCAGCAACCTCATAGCTCCTGATTGGCTCCCTGCCATATATTAAACCCCAGGGATATTCCAGGAAGTCTCTAGGTAGCAGCGTGGATCTCCTGTAGCTACTATTACCATTCCTACTCCTGGCTTTGGCTTGATTTGGACCTTGCCTCCTGACCCAGAACTTGACACCTGATCTGACTAACATTTCTAATTATAACCCCAGGTTGAATTGCTTTGCCAGTTGTTCAGGCTGCAATTGTCTATGCTTGGTCTCTGCCTCAGGCTGAATTTTCTTTTGGAAGAGTTCAGTCATTTCTGTCACAGCTGGGAATAGAATCCAGGTTTCCACTATTTTACCCCCAGTTCTCAGCTGCTTAGCCCCACAGCTTCTCAGGCGGAAGAAGGAAGGAAAAGGTGCCACCTCTATGTACTTGGCTATGTGCCTGTGAAATGGGGCTACTCCTGCATACGTTGCCCACAGTTTCTATAGCCCAGATTTGAAAAGGTATTTAGGATCTAGGCATATATGTCTTACATCCCCTTCTCTAGTGGCTGGTCCACAGAAGAGCTCACACCCTTCTACCACTGGTAGCAAATGGAGTTAGCCCTTAGCTCAAGTGGTGGAGGGCTGTGCTATGGGGCTGAAGACCATGGACTGATAGCCCTGTTGATGCCTGGTGGTTTTCTCACTGTTGAAATGGATAGATTGTGTATGTTTCTTTTAAAATAACCTGGAAAATTACATACAATAAACTAGATTAACATTATTTGAATCAGCTTGCAAAGTCAAGCACTGAAAAGTTAGGAAACACCAAAATGAAGAAAAAATCATGCAACCTTAGTTCAGCTCTCTCGGGCATTATGATGCTGTCTTTAATTTAATGATCACACACTATTCCCACACCCCCCCACAAACCTCTGCCTCATTCAGTGCACAGGCTGGATGGTGCTCCCTGAATGCATTGGAGTTAAGCGGTAAATGAAGCTACTGTCAGTAGAACCCCTTGCTTTTTCACTGCAAAAGTTGGAAAGTGTGTCAGGAATGAGGCAGAAAACTACAGGAGGAACAAGAATGGGCATGTGGTTAAGGCAGCTGACTGTAACTAAGGAAACCTAGGTTCTGGCCTTTGCTCTCCTACATGCAGATGTTGGTTAGATCATCACACCAAATGTTTCCACGGGTAGCCACCAGTTCTGTACTTCTCATTTTCTGCGTGTTTAACTTGAGATACATCATTTAAGGGCTGAGCTCCACACGTGAGACTGAAGTCAACGGGTTCTGTGGGTGCTCGGCCCCTATGAAAAATCCACTTGAGATAAAATTTTCAAAACCATTGAAATAATTTAGCAATTTACAGACTTGGGCTTCTGCAGCCCAGATCCTCAAAGGCTTTTAGGTACCTAACTCCCATTGCTCCCATGGATGTCAATGGGAGTTAGATACCTAAGTGCCTTTGAGCATCTGAGCCCTGTGTGCCTAGCGTTCTTTAGAAAATGGAACATAGGCTCCTAAGTCACTTAGCTGCATATTATTATCCCCAAGTGTCCAATGGGACTGTCAAGATCAAAAGCAGGAAAAAATGTACACTGTCTTTTGGGGTCCTCACTGATGGGTGTCTCAAGCCACAGGTAAAATTTTCAAAAACTGCTATCTCACAGTAGAAAAGACAAAGTCACTAATATTTGGGAATGAGGCACTCAGGTACTGTAGTAATAAGCAGGCCCAGAATTTTTTTAAAGACACCATAATAGAGGCACAACTTCAAAGTATACCCCAAATTAAGAAACACAGTAAAAGAACTAAAAAAGAGCCACCGTGGCTTAACAACCATGTTAAA